AAAATAATTCTAGATGTCATCTTTGCAAATTTTCTTCAGTGTTCATTCGTATTTAGATCTGGTTCTCAGGTTTCAACTCCTCCACGTGTAGAAAGGAGCCAATTGTCAGTGGTGGGATACCACAGAAGCAAGGAAGAGCAAGTGACACCTTTAACCTCACGAGACTCAAGAGCTGTGCATTTTATAAGCTCAAAAGGAAGTGGATTTAAATAGGAAGGAGAGGTTACACTAAGATGTACCAAAGTTATAAGGCAGTGTAGGAATCTGCACACTGAGCCGGGCATGGTGGCCCACACCTGAAATCCCAGCAGCTGGGAGGCCGAGGCAGGAGGATCGCCGTGAGTTTGAGACCATCCTGGGCTACACAGTGAGTTCAGGGCCAGCCTGAACTACAAAGAGAGACCCTGCCTCAAAAAAGTAAAAATAAAAAAGAATCTGCATACTGTCAAAATGAGTTGGACTTGTTTGTTTGTTTTTTGAGTCAGGGTCTCATCATGTAGTTCAAACCAGTCTTGAACTATGTATCCTAGGCTGGCCTGCTTCAGCCTCCCAAGTGCTGGGATCACAAGTGTGCAGCACCACGTCCCCACAAAATGAGCTGGATTCAGCAATGAAAACTTGTTTACAAGTCAGATGGAAACTGTGAAAGATTCTGTCACTTGTCCACCAAATGTCACTATTTTACTAAAAGGCAGCAACTAGATATGGCTATGACTGAGATCTTCTTAAAAGCTGAAATTAAAGAGTTAAAGTTCATCTCCAGTCACAACTTACAGGAATATCTGTACTTTAAAATACATTTAGATGACAGATGCTAAAGAGAAGATGATGGATTGAAAAATATAAAGAATGTGACATAAAAATCAATCCTACAAAAAAGTGGGCATTTTGTAACATTTCTTCAGGAAAAATAGAAATGTTTATCTTTGCATGTTTGTGAGTCTCACAGTATCATCTTGGTTTTCAGTGATTTTTCAGAGCAAAGGTCAGTCAGCATTGTTATTTATCATTTAGGTACTGAACACTGGATTGCATAGTTGAATGTGTCTTTCATCCACCACAAAATGGGGTTGTTATTGATGGGATCCTGTTCTTAAATTGTATATCTTCAAAATTAATTGATGTCTTTAAAATGTTGAGAGCAAAGTAATAGAAGAGTTACTGGCTTAATTTAATTGTAAAATTATTAGAGGTTGTTGTTGTGCTTTATTCTCACACTACAGGGGAAGTTAACCGTGAAAGTCTTATTTTAGTATAGCTACAGCTACAGTAGCTTTTCAGGGTGTATCAACATTTTATCAAAAGCTATAGCTTCCTAGTTCAATGTCTCGACTGTTTCAGAACTTTCACCCAAGTTAAATTTTTGGTGTTGAAACAGTAAATTGAGTAAGCTAAATTTTTTCTACACTAATCCACCATCTGTTCTTTATGTGGGGTTTTTTTTACCTGTTTATAATTCTCAAAATAAGGGTCACTTAAGGAGCCAAATGCAGTAGTCTTGCTTGGGGCTGTTGCACATGAGCAGCAGCTGTTTTGTTTTCATGAGTGCAGTTCTCATACTGCACCTCAGAATTTAAATCTTGACAACAGGAAAACTCAGTGGCAAAGCTGTACAATCGTGGTCTAGTGTAACGAAAAATGAAGAGCTTTTCATCTTATAAATGGATGGTTCATAAATAAAATTAAGCACACACTAAATATACAGTGGGTATTTGATTTGTGAATTACACACATAAACCCTCCTCCCCAATTTTCCATTTATCTTATTTCAAAATTAGTTGACTCAGTGGTTCTGAGTCTTTGTTAAATATTAAAATGCAGAGTTTATTTATTTTTATTTTTTTTAATAATTTTTGTTTTTTTCTTTTGTTTGCATTAATTTTATTTATTTCTTTATTTTGGTACCGGGGATCGAACTTGGGACCTTGCACTTGTGAGGCAGGTGGCGGAACCACTGAGCTAAATCCCCAGCAAAATGCAGTTTAAAACATTTTGATCCCTGGGTCTCCTCCCACGACAACCAAATTAGAATCAGTGAGTTACTTAAATCATTCCGCATGAGAATCTCCCTTTTATGAAGTGATCTAATTACACTGGACTCCATGCAAGCGTCAGAACAGAATGATTTAATGTGCAGCTACTTAGTGATTGGGTATATTTCTTAGTAATTTCTTCAGGAAGAAAAGATACTTGGCAGTCCTTATTTGGAAAATAATAACAGCCTATCTTTTTTGTTCTTTTCGAAAACTAAAACCTACCGGTAGTTTATATATGAGCTTTTAATGTTTCATCTTTCTGCCCCTTTTGCCTTTAAAGCTTATTTGAAAAACCATGTTTATATGTGGCAGCTGAGAAATAATTGTCATTGACAATTTATGGCCAATTTATCCATTACTATAATATTCAATTATACTGGCCTTGTTCTTTAAGGTCGGGCAATTTAGACCTGAATTTTTTTTTTAAATCATGGTTGTCCTAAATGTTTTAGGGATTTTTACTCGTCCATAATTAATTTGGCTGAAGTCTTTTGTTTGCAATGAACCCTGGACGTGGGAGAGAGCTCCCCAGGCAGGGGCACAGCCTTCCCGGCCGTGGCCCGACCACAGCGCCTGGAAAGCGTGTGCCGTTCACCTGCGGCTGTTTGCGCTCGGCACTGTGTCGCGCTGGGAGCACAGCGAGACGGGGCCCGTGCTGGGGACCCTAGGCGCGACAAGGGCTTCTCTACGTGAGCGGCCCGGGGCTGTGCGTGTAGGGAGGGCCCACTGCGTTGGTCAAGAAAGAACCGTCTGGGGCGGGGGATTTAGCTCAGTGGTGCCCCGCTTGCCGTACAAGAGTAAGGTCCCAAGTTCGATCCCCGGTACCAAAAAAAACCAAAAAAAGAACCCCCGGGTGCCTAACGGATGTGGGCCTCTCCGGTCTGTGCCTCGCTGCCACTTCCCCAGGGCCCGCCGTGGCCCCCGGCCCTGCCTCGCGCTGTCCCCACAGCGCCCCCCGCTGGGCACCCCCAAACCAGCCCGGCCTGTTCCCCCTCAGTGTCTCCGGCCACAGCAATGCGGCACGGCGGAGGTGCAGTTAGCACTGTGCAAAATCAGGTCCTAGTACAGGCGCCTTTGTATAACTTCCGCTCTCTGTAATTACAAGACCCAAGATGTAGCCTGGGGCGCCCGAAGTGGGGCCCCGGCACCCGTGGGCAGGGGCTCGGCGGGGTAGGAGCAGTTTGCCTGCTAGGCACGCGGTCACCGGCTGGGAGAAGTTGCCACCGTGACGCAGCCATGGCGCTCCCTGCAGGACGGAGTGGCGGCGCGCTGCAGGTGCTCCGTGGAGCCGCCAGGGGGCGCGCGCGCGGCCCTCGCCTGGTTCCCGGCCACCGAATCACCAGGAAGTCGGTGCGACCCGCGCTCGGAGGCCTCTGTGGTCTACTTCCGGGCAGCTGTGGCTCTTCGTCCATTCTGGTACTTTTAATTTCTCCCTCCGGTGCCCAGAGGCTACTTCAGTTCAGTCTTTCTGACTTGTGTTTCCAGCCTAGCAGTGTACTTAATAAGGGAAAAAGAACAAAAACCAGAAAGACAGTAAAGACACCCTAAGATACAGTTCTGAGCTCCAGCCCATGTAAGCAGTGTAAACGCTCAGGAAACCCTGGGGCCGGGAGCCCTGCTCACCAAGTGTCCCCATGGCTCGCCGCCTCCACCCGGCCCAGGCCTGCGGGCTCCGAGGCTCCGGCCCGCCCTCCACATCGTCCTCCGAGCCCGGGGCAGGGGCTGTCATTTCACCTCGGCGGGCGACCGAGCGGGCAGGGCGGTCCTCGGGGGCTGTGGCCAGGCGTGGCTCCTACAGCGGCCTGAGCTCCTACGGGGTCGGCCGGCTTCTGGGCCCCGCATAGCTGTGGGTGTCAGCCAGCCGCCTGGTGCACAGAGTCGGGGACCAGGAGGGACACGGCACGGGGGACGCCCTGGTTCTCCGTGTGCGGGACGCAGGCGGGGACGCGTGTGCCAGCGGGCCGCGTGATTGCGTGCGGGAGGCGGGCGAGTGGGTGGGTGTATGCGCCTGCAAGTGTGAAACGCGGGTGAGAAAGAATGAGCAGGCGCTTGTGTGAGGTGCGTGAGGGCGTGGGTGGGTGTGATCGTCAGGGTCGTGTGTAAGTGAAAGTGGGCGGGCACACCTGCCCCCCCAGCCGGGAAGGAACAGGAGGCCGCCGCGTCCCTGGTGACCCCTGCGCGGCGGCACCTGCAGCCGGGGACGCGGTCGCCACGCATCAGTCCTGTGTCCCGTGTCTGTGAGCCGTGGGCACCACGCCCACCCGACAGCCAGGGTCTCTGGAGGGGAGGCCCCGACAGCGACAGCGCGGAGAGGATCCAAGGGCACTTGGGGAGGTCCCGCGGGAAGGACGTCTGTGCCCGGGGAAGCCCTGAGCGCCGGCGCACGTCACGGGGAGGGGTACTGGCTCCCCGGCCCAGCCCGGTCCCCTCCCTCCCCGCCTTTCCCATGCAGGCCCCACGCCCCGGGTGACCTTAGCGACCCGGCGCTCGATTAGCAATGGTAGCAGGTGGGGGGTCACCGGCAGCCCCGAGTCCGGGCCGCACCTGGTCACTGCCCTGGGCTCCTCCAGTCAGCCAGAGCCAGAAGGGCCCTGGGACCGGTCGCCCCTTCTCATGTCAGTGGGGGGCCTGGAAGGTCATCCCAGCCCCGCCCACCCCCGCCCCCCACCAACTGAGGCGGCTCCAGGGCGGAGCTCCAGGCCGCCTGCCTGCTCAGAGGGGCTCACAAGTTCAGCACCTGGACAGCGCCCACCGACATCCCCCCCCCCCCCCCCACCCCTCGCGGGACCCAAGGCGCTCGAAGCCTCTCCGGACCCTCCCGCTGCTGCCCCGCCCGGGCGGCACTGCTCACCCCATAAACTCGGCCACTCGCCCCGCCACCCCGGCTCCTTGCACTGTCGGCCCCCTCAACTCGGCAGCACACGTTCTTTCCTGGTCCCCGACAAATTCATGCAACACCCGGGGTCAGGATTTGGGTGGGTGGCCTTTTGGGGGTAGCCAGTCAGCCCAGGATGCGTGACGAGTTATCTAACATGAAAATACTTGTGTTGCTGGTTGTGGTGGCGCACACCCACAAGCCCAGCTACTCAGGAGGCTGAGGCAGGAGAATTCAGTCTGAGGCCAGCCTGGGCAACTCAGTAAGACTGTCTCGAAATAAAATAAGGGTTGAACAAAAACAGTGCCTCTGTCATCTTAAAAAATAAAACAGTTCCTGGGCCCTACTGCCAGTATTGCAAAAAAACACAAAATAGGAACAAATAATGCGCTGGAGGGACTTCCCCGGACATGTGAGTCATGAGCTTTCTGTCCCGCCACTGGGGTGGGGCCAGGCCGGCTGAACTGGGGCTCGCTGAGGCCCCCAGGGCCCCCGCAGGCGGCGGAACATAGGCCGTAGCGAGCAGGGCAGGCAGTTTATTTCCGGGCGGGCAGGCGGGGACTAGAAGACCAGCTTGCAGGCCGGGAAGGCGTCGTCCTCCGTGAACACCATGCTGCTGCTGCCCAGCACGCGGATGCCCAGGGTCTGGTGCTGCGCGCGCGTCTCCTCGAACCACTTACGCATGGCCACCGAGTCGAAGGTGGGCACCAGGGTCACCTGCGGGCGGGGCAGACGGGCGATCATGGGACGTCCCGGCTCCCGCCAGCCGCACCCATCCCCGCCCCAGCCTCTGCTCGGCCACGAGGCTGCCCCGCGCCTGGGCTCAGTCCCCAGAGGCCTTGAAGCTGCGGGGTGTTCAGCGCGCACCCACCCTTCGAGGCCGTTTGAACATCCGGGAAGCAGCCCTTGGGGTGACCCCTGCCCAACCCTGGCTGTCGGTTCACAGCCGCGCTGGACCTCACAACCCAGGAGCAGCCAGAAGCCGCAGCGCCCGGTGGGAGTCGCCCGCCTCCCCCTGGTTCGGGCCCCGTAGGGAGGCGGCTGGGTGGACGCACTCTGCGCCCAGGCCTGCGTGGCTGCGCACCTGCAGATCTCGGTCCCACTGCCGCTTGGCGTCCAGCAGCGCGTCCAGCACGGCCCGCAGCCCCTGCTCGCGGTGCTGGTCCTGGCCGCTGATGACGTAGCAGAGCGCGCGCACGCGCAGGAAGAACTCGGCGTCCAGAGACCCCACACTGCCGCCAGGCAGGTAGGCCAGGTCCAGATAGACCGGGGGGCCCGGTGGGCTGTTGGCCGCGGCTGGCCGGCTGCTGGCTGGGCCTGTGGGCAGGACGGGAAGGTCACCAGCCAGAACTTGCGACCCTCCTGCCTCGGCCTCCCAGGGTGCTAGGGTTTCAGGCAAGCGCCACGTCGCCCGCCACTTCATCTTTTTCCCGTGCAAACACCTCTGGGTACACCCCACCGTGTGCCAGAAGCCCGAGGGGGACCCTGAGGAGTCCCGGTCGGGGAGAAGGGGTGATGGGGCCCTTCCTGGGGGAGCCGCTGGACCGGACTGAGGTGCCGGGCACCTGGAGCCTCGGGAAGGGGAGACGGGCGCAGCCAAGAAGCACAGAGGCCGTGGCTCCAGGGCACAGACACCGCAGGCCCCGCCCGCCCGCCCGGGACCAGGGCGTCTGCAGAAGGAAGCCCACAGCGGGCGCTGCCCTCGCAGACGGCAACTTGGCCCGAACGAGTTAGGGCACCCAGCTCCCGGGGCAGCAGACAGAAAGCAGCAGGGCGGGCGGCGTCAGCCGAGGCCCAACCGACCGGGGGGGGGGGGGGGGCCTCGGGCAAGGCCCGCCCGAAACTGAGCGAGAGGGAGAGGGAGACCGGGACCGGGACCGCCGCACAGTAAGGCACAGGGGCTCGGAGCCAGCTCCTGCACAGGCCCCGGGTCCGGGCCCAGCACCACCTTCACGGAGCTCAGGTGGCAAATCCACGCGTGTGCCGCTTTTTAAAAACTGAGCAAAAAATAAAAGCACAGCAGGCCAAAGCCATTCGCGAGGGCTGAGTGAAGGCTGGCGACCTTCCAGGTCCTCCGCGAGCGCGGTCAGCGCCGGCTAACAAGGAGACGAGGCCCTGCGAGCTGCACCGACACGGGCTCAGCACGCGCAGCCTCAGCGGAAGCCACAGCCTGGCGAGGGCTCTAGGCCTCTGCAGTACCTGCCGGGAGCCGGGAGCCCGGGAGCCCGTGGGACTCGGCCACCTGGCGAGCTGCGCTGGTCTGCGTGTTTAGCGCCCCCTGGAGAATGACCCAGGTCCTTCGCACTGAGCTGCATCCCAGCCTCTGCTGCCTTTTAGACAGTCTCACAAAGTTGACCTGGTGGGACCTGAACGTGCGGTCCTCCTGCCTCATCCTCCCAGAGTGCTGGGAACACAGGCGTGAGCCACCACACCTGGCTTTTTTCCCCCCCAACCTGGCTTGGTTTGATCTCTGGATTCGGGACCTGCGGATTTGCAAGGCTATTAAAATTGACTTTGCCATTTTCTTCGGACTCACTGTGGTTAACAGAAAAGCCACCAGGCAAGACCCGCTGTCCACCGAGGGTCCTGCCCAAGCACTGGGAAGTGGCCGGTGCTTCAACACTGGGACCAGAGTTTGTCTTGTACAGAAAAAGTACGGCCCAGAGAGGGAGGCGGGTGCGGCTGGGGTTGCACAAGGCGCAGGAAGAGGACTTGAGTCGCTTCTCTGCAGCTTAGGGCCCCGCCCCTGCCCCACCCCCTGGTCCCACCCCCGGCCCAGCACTCACTGGCAGCGGCGGTGGCTGCAACTCGGGCGACGGCCTTGGGGACGGTGGGCTTCCTGGCCAGGGACGCCCGGGCCGCCTTGTCACTGGGCTCGCTGCGGGCACTGAGCAGCCGGCCAGCCCGGTCCCCCCCAGCCAGCCCCTTGGTTTTGACCGCAGCTGCAGGCGTGGCTCTGGGGTTGACCGAGCCGGAAGTGGAACGGGCCAGGGGCTTCCGGGCGCGGCTGGAGCAGTCGGCAGTCCTGGCAGACGCAGGCGGCAACACCTCGGGGTCCACCATGCAGAGGCCGGGTGGGCCGAGCAGCGGCGGCCGGTCTTTGAGGGGCTCCGGCAGCGGGTCCCGAGGAGCGCCCAAGGCCTCCGTGTCCTCGTCAGAGTCCCCGGCCCCGGGGGCGGCGGGCAGGGGCTCTGAGTCAGACAAGGTGGCCAGGGACTCGCTGACCGACGCGGGGGGCGTCTCCTCGGGTGCCGCCCGCTCCTGGGACCCGGCGCTGCTGTCCTGGGAGCTGCCCGGGGACGCGGGAATGGCGGGGGTGGCCTTGCGGTGCTCAAACTCGCAGGGCGACACAAGGCACAGGTCCACGTCGTGTGGGGAGGCCGAGCGTGGAGCGCCGGGCGCGCGCAGGGGGAGGCTCAGCCTGGCCTCGCCCGAGGGCGGGCCCTGCTCCAGGGACGCAGACAGAGACTCATCCAGCTCCGTGGAGTGCGGGGAGCCCACCTCGGCGGGCAGCGAAGGAGTGGTGGGAGAGGCGTCCCGGGGCGGGCTCAGCGACAGGGGCCGCTCCAGCTCCGAGGGAGAGGACGGGCAGGGGCGGGCTGCGCCGGGGGCCCCCAAGCTTGGCCCTGGCTCCAGGCCATTCCGGGCCGCCGGCGAGGGGGTCGGGACTGCGCGGGGGGCGCCTGCCTTCTTGATGTTCGGGGCGGCGAGCGTGGCCCGGCGCACTTCCCGAGGCTGGGTCCGGGGCAAGCTGTTCTTGGGGTCCTTCTTTGGCTCCCGGGGCGGCCTCGCTTCCCTTTCCGGCGCCCTGCGCGGGGCCTCCTTCCGTGCCGCCACGAGCCGCTCGGGGACCGGCCTGGCCTTGGCGCTGTCCCGCGAGCCCACGCTGTCCCTGCTGCCCGCGCGCCGCGGTGCCTGCAGGTCCTGCGGCGTCACCACCGGCTCCCGCAGGAAGCCCAGGTGCTGCAGGCGGCCCAGGCCGTCGAGCAGGCGCGCGGGCGGCGTGCGCCCCGGGAAGAGCGCGCGCACCACCTTCTCGGCCGGGTCGGCGGGCAGCCACACGAGCAGCGCGCAGGCCGAGGCGGCGCCGGCGTCGGAGGCCGGTGGGTGCAGCACGTGCAGGTCCAGGCGGCCAACGCCCAGCTTCTCTAGCAGCACGGTGGGCGCGGCGGGCAGGCTGCGGCGCAGGGGCAGCGGCGCGATGCCCAGCTGCGCCAGGAGCCCGCGCGCCACCTCGGCCTCGTCTTCGCCCCCCAGCAGGCGTGGCGCGGGCTCGCGGGCGTGGAGGAACACCACGCCCAGGCCGGGCGATGCCAGGCGCCCCGGCCCGCCCTCCCGCGAGGCCCCGGCTGCCGCCTCCCGCCGCTCGGCCACCTTGCGCCGCAGCAGGCTGTTCACGCCCGGGAGACTGTCGGCCCCCGCGTGCGTCACCAGCACGGCATCCACGCGGTCCACGTGGCGCAGCAGCTTCCAGAAGGCGGCCTTGGGGTTCGAGCCTCCGTTCACCAGCACAGTGAAGTCACTGACGGCGAAGAAAGCAGTGTCCCCGAGGCCGCCGGGGAAGATGTAGCAGCAGGGCGGGTCGAGCTTGAGGAAGTCCCCAGAGGTCGGCGGCTCCAACAGCTCGAAGGGGGACGGAGGCTCGAGGGACCCGGCCAGGTACTCCAGGAGCTCCCGCAGGCCAGCGGAGGCCGGCAGCCGCGCCGCAGGGTTGAGCCGCAGCCGATGCCCAAGCAGGCCCGCTTCGGCGGCGCACAGCTGCGCCCAGGCCCCGAAAGGCGGGCAGCCGAGCGTGAGCGTGGGCGGCTCAGCCGAGGCAGGGGTGCGGCCCAGCAGGTCCCGGATCTGCGGTGAGGAGTAGGATAGGGCTTCTGGAGCCAGAATGCCCAGCCCCGTGGGGACACTGGGACCCCCTCCTTCTCCTCTCTGCGGACAGCCCAGGCCTCCCTTCCCCGGAGAGAGGCGCTGCTCTGACACCAGGGCATGCAGGACACTGCCACTGCTCCACAGAGGGGAGCAGGACTCACCTCCCTCTCCTCCAGGATCTGCAGGAAGTGGTGGGACGAGAAGCCCCCTGTCTGGAGCAGCAGCTCCCCAGTCTCCTCCAGGCAGGGCCCAGCCAGCACCAGCAGCTTGTGAGGGGCAGGGACCAGCAGAAGGTTCCGGAGCTGCAGGACAGCGTTAAAGGTCCATGCAGTGCGTGGCCCTGGGACACTCCCTGACCCCAAGCCACTCCCAAGGCCGCCAGTGGGAGATGAGGCACTAGGCCTCCTGCCCGGCCTACACGCAGGGTCCCCTCCGGCCCGCTGTCCCTGTGGCCCAGTCCTGACCCGACGGCCGGCCATCTGGGGCTGGCTCTGTCCCTCTTCTGGCCTGAGAGCCCCTCAAGGGAGTAGAAGGGCTTGGCATCAAAGGGGGTTCCCTGGGGCGCCCCAGGGCTCCTCCTCTTCCTCCTCCCAATGTAAACCTGCCAGAAGAGCCAGAAGCCACACCCAGGAGCTCCGGCCCGGCCCCCACCGGTGGGAAATCGCAGGACACAGTCACTGGGGTCTTGTCCTCCCCTCCAAACCTTCAGGGCCTCGGGCTGGGGGTGCTGAACCCGTCCCAAACGCCAACCTTTCTTCCCCTCCCGACGGGTGGGACAAAGCTGGGGCGGGAACCACAGGGATAGGGCGCTGGCGCTGGGCATCTGGAGAGATCCCAGGCAGCAGAGGACAGGACAGGGGAGATGAAGGGGGCCCGGCACTGCCCTGCAGCCCACCCTGCACACCTCATCACACAGGGACTTGTCCGATGGGTTCAGAAGGACCAGGGTCTCCAGGGCATCTCCGCGGTGATGCAGGCTCCGCTGCCCTGCAGGACAGTTGGCCAGTGAGCGCCAGGCTGGCCCTCTGGGTTGTGTGGTGGGCGGGGCCTTGTGGGCAGGGCGTGGTGCTTCTGGGATCAGGCCGCACAGATCGGTGGCCAGAGCCCAGACTTGGTTTAAACGCTCAGCCCTAGCTCCGAGTATGGCCACCCTTCTCATGCTTGCTAACCAGACACTGCCCCACACGGGGGAAAGCAAGGCCAAGACAGAGAGGTGGCCGCCGAGGTCACACAGAGCAGACGGGATTTTCAGCCGCTCTCTGCCCCACCCCAGGAGGGATCAGGAAGCCACCAGGGCCCGTGGGACAATGAGACGCGGATGGACACTTCCTCCCCCTCCAGCAGTCGGGAGGTGGCTCCACCGGCCAGCCAGAACGAGGTGCAGGTGATACCCAAGCCCCGCCCAGCACCGTTCATCCAAGGTCACCCCAGCATCCTGGCCCCCAAGGCCAGGCGCTGGATGGGCTCCCCTGACGTCGCCTCAGCTCCCCAACTGCCGGCGCCGGGCCCTTCCCTCCACCCAGGGCCCCAGCCCAGCAGCCTCATCCAAGCCCCTGGGGGGGCGGGGGGATCGCCAGACCCCAGCCCACAACACCCCAAGTCCCTCGTCTGCAACGTGGCCCGAAGACAAAGGTTTCTGCCTGTCACCCCTAAACCAGGCGGGGCTGCATCATTGTTCCTGTTTCCGCGCCCCGCCACAGGCCTGGCCCAGCCCGCACTCAGCAGCAACTGCCCTTGAGCAAGAGGAGCTCCGCCTCACCTCTGACGATGCTGGAGAAGGTGGCCGAGTGCTGGGACACGAAGGTCTTGAGCTCCTGGTCAAGGCTGCAGACGCCAAGATCCACGTCCCAGGCGCGGATGCCTGGATGGGGAGGCCGCAGAGGCGGAGCTCAGCTGGGCCCCTCCCCCGCCCAGCCCCAGCCCTCGGAGGCCTAGGCCCAGGCCCCAGGGCACTTCACACGTTCCCGACGGCCAGTGGCCTCCGCGCCGGGCATCCTCCCTCCATCCGCCCCTCCTCCGCCGGCCAGGCCGGCTGCCTTTCCACTGCAGCCCCTGACGCCCTCCCCGGGTCCCGCTGCCAGGGCCAGCAGGTCCTGCCCACCCCGCCCCACCCCTCGACACCTTCCCAGTGCCCCAACAAGGGCTCCAGCGCCCGAGCCCGAGGGCGTGGCCGGGCTCCTGCGCCCCCGGCGGGTCCCCTGCCCAGCCCCGGCACCCAGCGCCACCCAGCGGCACGAGGGTCCCCGCCCGGGGCGCAGGTGCACGCCTGACTCACGCGCCGCGCCATGCCGCCCACGCCCAATTAGCCGCCCTGGAAAGCGGGCCCCGGGGCGCCGGCCGACAGGTGCTGGAGCCCGGACCGGAGGGACGCCCAGGCTCCTCCGGGGTCCGCGCCCCGGGTGGGGCAGGGGGCCGGACGCCGCTTCCTCCGCAGCTGTGCCCCGCCCTGCCCAGGCCGCCCCCGTCGGGGACCCCGCGCCCCACGCCCCGCGCCCGACCTCGCTCGAGCTCCTCCAGCACGAGCCCCAGCGGCCCCACGCCGCCGCATTCGCCGCCAACCACCAGCAGCAGCGCGCCCCCCACCGCCGCCGCCATCTTCGCACCGCCCCGCCGGCCCCGCCCCTTAAAGCCCCGCGCCGGAAGCGCTCGGCCCCGCCCGGAAGTCTCCCCTCCCCTGGTGGGCGGGGTCTCGGTGGTGGGGGCGGGGCTGCTGCCCCTCCCGTGTGACCATTCATTCAGGCTCTGACCTCACGCCTGCCACTCGTGGGGTCAGCATTTCTGCACCCGCGACTTGGTGGGCCCAGGCAGAGCCAGGGACTGATGGGTGTTCCCAGTTGCCTAGGTCAGGGTTCCAATGGAAAAAATAAATGGATCTTGTAGACAGGGCCTCCAGGGATGTGTAGGAGTCCGGCAGTTGTGGGTGGCAAAGCGACAGCAAGGGGGCCAGAAGCTACAGCCATGCAGAAGGTAGGCAGGCGCTTGTGTGTTGGGGACTCTGCTAGCACTTATGGGGGGTACAGGCCACGGTTTTACTGTGCACCTCCTGTGCCTCGTGGGCATTTCAGAGGACCGGAGAGGAAACTGACGCGCTGGGCCAGAAGGGGTGGGGCAGATTTGAACCCAGGTAACTTTCTCCTGCCCTGTCTGGTAGGCTCCTGACCACGGCAAGGCAAAGTGGGGAAGGCAGCAGCCGCCCTTGGATGCTCAGCAGCCTGGGGTACGGAGGGGGAGAGACCCGCTGGGATTCAGCCAGGCTGGACCAGGGCGGAGGGTGGCGTCACCCAGTCCTGAGGAGGAGGGTCTCAGTTTAACCTCACTCGAGAGAGGTTGGGGAAACGGTACATCTCCAAAAGAAACGACTCCTAATTTCTGTTTTGGTTTGGTTTAGTGTTCTTTGACAGGGTCTCAATATGTAGCCCAGGCTGTCCTGGATCTCACAGCGATCCTCCTGCCTCAGCCTCCTGGGTGCTGGGATTGCAGGCAAGAGCCACTGGGCCTAGCAAAAACTTCTAACTGCAGATCCGTTTCACCCTCAGCCTCCGGGCTCCTCCCACTCCCAGTCAGGGAGAGTGCAGCAGCGGCTGCCTGCCCTAACCCCGGCCTCTGCTTCCCCTCCACCCGGGCCGCAGCCTTCCTTCCTCCAGCCTGGCCACCCCGTGGTACAGCCCTGCAGCTCGAGGCTGGAGTGCCCAGGCCCAGCTCCCTGGCCCCCGGCACACAGGACTGGGTCGGGCCTGGGCCTGACCTTGTGCAGGACCGAGTCGGGCGACCCAGGGTGACTCTCCTCCTGCGCGCATTCATACATTCCTTCCTTGTGTGTCATCCGTTGACGAAGATTCAACCAGCACCTTCCCACCGACCTCCCTGCCCTGCCTTCTGCCCAAGGCCTTGAGGTCGTCTGTGGTACAAGTTCTTTCTTGTCTTTCTTTTTCCTTTTTTTTTTTTTTTTTTTTGGTGCTTTGAAACAGGAGCTCGCTGTGGCAACCCTCCTGCCTCAGCCTCCAAGTGCTGGGATTTCAGGGGGGAGCCACCAGGCCGGGCCCCTCCTAGGCTTTGAGTTCTGGAGCCATCCGCAAGGGCCACGTTTCCGGGTCGGAGGGGCTCCTCTCCCCAACCCCAGGGAACCCCGCGCGGGCCTCAGGCTCCCTGCCGGTTCCCGCTCAGCTGGCCCAGGAGGCGGCACCGAGCCCGGCCTCGGGACGGCGGCCCAGGGCGCCCACCCCGGCAGCGCCTTTCTCCACTCCGAGCATGTCTTGGTAAGATTGTTTGGGTTTGGTTCCCTGGCTCAGGGGGCACCAGGCTGTGTCCTGAGGGGCCCCGGGTCCTCAGCAGCACCCGCAGCCCCTCTCCACACCTGACCCCATCCCGCCTCCCTCCCTGCGGGCCACACCCATGGTGCATGCGCAAGTGTGTGCCCGTGTCTGTGTGTGCGCAGGCGCGTGTGTGTGCCTCCTCATCTGGGTGTGGGTGGCCCCCGGGCTGCAGTGCAAGGGAGTCGAGGTCCTTGTCACCTTTGGGTGTTAACTTTTTTTGGGGGGGGGTACGGGGAATCGAACTCAGGACCTTGCACTTGCCAGGCAGACGTGGCACCACTGAGCTACATCCCAGGCCCTGGGTGTTAATTTCATCCTTTCCACCGCCCAGGGCCTGGGCTCTACGTAAACTTTTTTGTTTGGGTGATTGTTGTTGTTTCAGACAGGGCCCGCTGGCCTTGAGCTCACAGAGATCCTCCTGCCTCAGCCTCCTGAGCTGGGATGGCAGTTGTGCGCCACTGGCCCCAGTTGGGTAAACTCATTTCACACATGGCAAAGTGAGGTTCCAGGAGGCCCAGGGGCAGAGTCTGCCAGAGCGGCTGGCCGGATGTGGACGTGGGGCAAGTGACTGCAGGCCCCTGTGACACGTTTATTCCTTCATTCAACAAACACTCCAAACTTCCCCGGGAGGGGCACTGCTGGAGACCCTAAGTGGTCGTTCTGGTCCCCAAGGAGCCATCAGCCTGGAAGAGGACTAGCTGGATACACACAGCCGGGTACTGGAGCTGGGGGAGCATGGATACGTCTAGGAGACAGGGAGGGTGTCCTGGGAAAAGGGACATTGCAGCTGGGCTGTAGAAGCATGCATAGGAGTTCACCAGGATTTATTAATTTAATGAACATCCTCCTAGACAAGACTTTTGTGCTGACCCCACTTCCTCCTGGCCCTGAAGATACCTAGGGCTTAGGGAGCTAGGGCCAGATGCAGGTTCCCCAAGGGATTCCCTGCGGGGCGGGTAGCGCCGGAAATGAGGGCACTGGAGGAGCCTGGGGGCATAGGGGCGGGCGGGCGCGTGGGTGGAGAAGCTCAGCTGAACCCGCCCGACAGTCTGTGGTTCTGCCGCTGACAGCCCAAGCCGCCTCCCCGGTAGGCCTCAGTTTCCCCAACTGAGACACGCACAAGGGAGAACAGGCGTGGCCGTTCCCCTGGCCCGGCAGTGTGGGTGACGGAGGGGACCTCGGCCGTGGCCCGCGGGGTCACGGTGGGCCGGCGGGGCGCAGATAACAGGGACGCCCCTGCCCGCCCCGCAGGGCCCCAGGACTTCCCGGGAAGAGGCCGGGAGGAGGAGGAGCAGGCCGCGAGCACAGCCTGAGGCCACCCAGGCCCCGAGGGCGGGCTCCAGGGGCGGGCGGGTGAGCGGGAGAGCGCTTGGAAACACCCTCCTGGCGCCGCAGGATCCCAAGTCCCAGGCCAGCCTGAGCAATGCAGCGAAACGCTGTCTCAAAACGCAAGGCAGAAGGGGCTCGGGCTGCAGCTCCGTTAGGGCCTTCAGAGTTCACCCCTGGGGCCCGAAAACGAAGACACGGAGACTGGCACTGGAGCCCTGGCCTCCCAGTCGACTCCAGGGTGGCCTGGGGGCCTCAGGGTTAGGCGCTCCGCTGCTGCCTCCAAAAGGAAGGAGGGAGTTTAGGAGTGGCCCGGATGAAGCACGACAGGAGGAGACTTCCAGACGCACACCTGTCACCCCAGCGCTCGGGAGGCTGAGGCAGGAGGGTCATCATGAGTTCAAGGCCAGCCTGGGCTACATATTGAAACCCTGTCTACAAAAAAAAAGAGAAAGAAACAAAAACAAGGCGCAGGGGGCCGTGGTTTTAGCTCAGTGGTGCCGCTGCCTGCCGCGCAAGCGCAAGGTCCTGAGTTCAATCCCCAGAACCAAAAAACAAGTTGCAGGGCAGAAGGAACTGCAGTCCGCCCTTCCCTTCCTCTCTCTCTCTTTTTTCTTTTCTTGTGCGTGCTGGGGATGGACACAGGGCCTCATGCGCGCTAAGCATGTGTTCCCTAGGCCCAGCCCAGGGAACTATTTTAGTTCTGTTTTGTTTTGTTTTGTTTTGTTTTGTTCCAGTATTAGGGATCAAGCCAGGGCCTCCTCACTGAGCTGTACCCCAGTCTATTTTTATTTTCAGACAGGGTCTCAATAAGGCACCAAGTTGCCCAGGCTGGGCTTGAACTTGCGGCCCTCCTGCCTCTCGGAGTGCCGGGATTGTGGCCTGTACCACCGCCCCCGGCTTAGTTATTCTTGCGGTTTATCGTCTCCTACTGCATGCATGCGGTCCGCGGGGCCTGGCGCTGCCAGGAGGGATGATGCCTTGGCCTGTCTGCCCGCGCTGCCCCCAGCAATGGCGGAGGCATCCCCGAGTGGGTGTCCCGGCCACGCTGCCGGCCTGGATGGGGCCACAGGGTCCCCAGCCCGGTGTAGATGTGGGACTCAGGGCTGCCGTGAGTGGCAGGGGAGGGCAGCGGCCCAAGAGCACAGGGTCCAGGCCCCACCGTGGAGAGCCCAGTCCTTTGTGCCTCAGTTTCCTCATCTGTAAAGTGGGAATGAGCTGTCTTCCCGGGGTGGCACGTGAGGTGCCCGGGGAAGAATGGAGAGGGAGCCCTCGCTTTTTCATTTATTTATGTATTTATTTATTTATTTTTGGTAGCGGGGATCGAACTCAGGACCTCGCGCTTGCAAGGAAGCCACTGGAACCACTGAGCTAAATCCCCTGCCCCTGCTTTTTCATTTATTAATTTACTTCAAGTATTAACTTTGCAGGGCTGGGATGTAACCCAGGGCCTTCGCTGACCTGCAGTGCCAGCCCTTTTTATTTTGGATTTTTGAGACAGGGTCTCGCTAAATCACCCAGGCTGGGTTCGAATTTGCAATCCTCCGGCCTCAGCCTCCCAGTGCTGGGATGACAGACGTGTGCCGTTACTCCAGGTTTACACGGTTTATAAACTGCTGTGTTAGGAGGTTTGGGGAAGGAAAGCCAGTGGGGGTAGCGTTTGGGGCCCGGCTGAGCTGTCTGGGTTCAAACCCCACCTCTGCCACCCACCTGCTGTGTCAACATGGGCCAGCAATCTACCGGATTTCCCACTTCCCCGTCCCTAGAATCGATGGGGGCAGGTCAGAGAACTAGCGGCCGTGGAGCTCTGCACGGCCTCTTGCAGCCCTTTGTGAAGTAAACCAGGCCGGCCGAGAGCGCTTCCAGCCGGGACCGCGCATGCCTCGTGCTGCCCCCTACTGGCCGCCGTCGCACCTTGGGGCTGAGTCCGGGCTCCGAGCCTGCAGCTCCGCCCCCGTTCAGTCTGGGCCTATC